CTCCCTCGCGGCCGCCGCTGCCATCGCCGCCGCCTGGTGCCGGCCCCTCCTCGTCGTCGCTCTGGTCAGAGGACTCGGCCATCAACCGCATTTGCTCGGGCCGAGCTCGCGGCGCGGCAGGCGCGGCACTCGCCGACGCGGCAACGGACGAGGCAGGCGCGCGGTCCTCGCTGCGCACGTCAACCACCGTCGACCCACCGCCGCAGAGCCGATAGTGCACGCCGAGCTCCGGCAGCAGGGCCTTGTGCGGCGTGAGCGGCCTCGCGGCCGCTGCATCTGTGGCCGGGAAGGAGAGGCGAACGCACACAAAGCGCCGCCTTGCGTGAACGACGATCGTTGGCGCCCCTCGGCGGCTGGCCGGAAGCTGCACCACGAGGCCGCGATCCGGAGGCCAGTCGACGTCGAGCCGCTTCAGCTCGCCCGCGTTCTCGCTGTCCTGCAGTTCCGGAGCCGAGCCGACGATGACTGCCGCGTAGCTGGACTCGGCGATGACAAGGTAGCGGTGCTTGAGGCCGGACGCGAGGAAGTACTTCACGTCGCCGATCGAGAGCGTGAAGCTCGTAAAATGCGAGGACATCGTCGTTTGCGTGAAGGCGCGAGAGAGGCACGCCGACGATAAAGAATTTGGTCCCTTGGCTCGTGTGCTCCCCGTTTGGTTTGTTTCCCTTGGGTTGTGTGTTTTCTTTCTTTCTTTCTTTTTGGTTTGTGTGTTTGCTTTCTTTCTTTTTGGTGCGTCTGCGTGCACCGCCAGCTTCCCAGGGCCATAGCGCGAAAAACGACGGTGGAGATGGCATGCATCCTAGCTGTTGTGTCGCCAGCCGAAGAGGGCGGGCGAGCCCCCGCCCTCTCGCTTTTTGTGTGAGTGTGTGAAGTGTGATGGAGAGGTAAGTGAGCATCTCTGACTCTCCATACAGTAGAACGCTCAAACAAGATGCAATCTAAACTCGATGAGACAAAAAAAGCACAGACGTCAGGCAGGCGCTCATCGTGGACTCGCATAATTATTGGGACCCGATTCTCAGGAACCCGTTCGCCGCGCGGTTGCACGTCGGGCAGCGCGTGTGCTTGGCCGACCACGTCTCCGCGCACGCGTAGCACGTGGAGCTGCGCGTGCGAACAAACGAGATGAGTCAGGAGGAGTTTGCACGGGAGGGTGTGGAACGGGAGGTGGCGGGGTTTGTGAGCCTCGCGCCTGTGCCGGCACGGCAAGAATTGAGCCCACGGCCTGCTCGCGCTCCACTCCGCCTCGCACAAGGTGCAAGCGCACGGACGGCACGTTCGGGTCGGGAGGACCTGCCACTCCTCAGCCCGCCTCTCGATGCAGAGGAGCAGGTCGAGCCGCAGGTAGTGCAGGTCGAAGAAGGAGCAGTGGTCCCTGCAGGGGGAGAGGTGAGGGATAAGCGGAGGGCATGGGAGCGTTATCGAGCCGAAACCTGGGTCGACCTCAGTCGACCTCCGTACTGCTGTGTGTTCGGAGGAGGGACGATCTCGGCGATCTCGGGCGATCTCGGGCGATCTCGGGTGCGACATCCCCCCCCCCTCTCTACCTCACACAGGCAATCGTCGCCTGCCCGCCGTTCCCGAGGGGGCGCTAGGAGGCGACGTTGCCGCCACCGTGGTGGCATTCTGTGCGGAGGCGGAGGCAAGGCGCGCGCGGCAAGGTGATCTCAGGTGGTACGGGGCTGATACTCTCGCAGAAGGACGCAGTCCGACAGAGAAGGTGCCCCCCCCGGCGCAGGGGCGAGGACGCGGAGTGGGCAGGCGCGCGCGCGGCGAGGCGTACCATGCGAGGCGCGTCGACTCGGTGCAGCTACCCGGAGCCTTGAGCAGCTCCACGAGGCCGGCGGTGTCCGTGCGTAGCACGCTGTGGGCGAGGCCGGCCGCTCGCTCCAAGACGGCGTCTGCTGCGCCACACGCGTGGAGGCCGTCCAGAAAGGCGCTCTCCACCGCGTCCACGAAATCGGGGCGGTCCACCAAGAAGAGCACGAGCTGCGCAATGTTGTGGTCGGTAAAGATGTCGACGAGCGTGGCTATCATACCGCGCTCTCCCGGAATACTAAAGATGGTGTGCTTATCGTCGCGCACGGCTTTCGGTAGCTTAGGACGGGTTGTCGACGGCGACGCGCGTGCAACCTCATAGTAGCGGATCAGCTCCTCCTTTGCGGCCCACGCTTCGTCAGTACGGAGCGCTTTGTCGGGCGTGACCTTGTCTCTCGCGCGAGCGTTGGCGACGGGAGAGCCGATGCCGAGCTCCGCACCGCGGGAAGCTCTCCTTGACGGGAGCCCTGACATTAAGGGTTGCTACAGTGACTTCCAGTGAGATGATGTCCCGCTGGCAAGTGCCACAGGCGACCGCCCCCCGGGCCTGCCATGGGTTATTCACAAGTGCTTATCCCGAGCCTGCCTTTTACTCGAGTTTTAATGTGCCTTACAAATGTGCGCAAAGCAATGTGCGACGGTAGCGCGTGATACACACAAGAGTGTGGGAACACAACGGAAATCGGGTAGATGCACCTCGAAAGTCACGGCGAAGCTGGTGGGAAGGGCCGGAAGGGCGCAGGAAATGGTAGCAGCATGGGCGGTAAACGCCAGGGGATTGGCGAGACACTGTATGTGCGACCTGCTGCTACCTTTGGCTGCCACCGGCGACGATATCAAGGCAGGGGTGCGACTTGCAGAGGAAACACGGAGGTGCAACCAAAAAGAAACCGGCGGCCAGCGGACAAGCGAATCAATGCACAAACAGGTCGAAAGTTAGAAAGAAACCGCAGACGCAACGTGTCAAGTACGTGGACAAGTCGAGAGAAGGAAATTATGCGGCACGTGAGCAAAACTTGCAAAAAGAGGAAACCCCCTATTCCGCGTCGCCCAGGCTCGACTCGCCCTCGGCCCAGCCAGAAAGAAAATATTCAACAAACAGCGACGCGACGGCGCGCGGCGACTCCGTTGCCACGCTGAGCTCAGCGGGCAGCGCCCAGCCGCAGTGCAGCTGGGCCTCGCGCAAAATGGCGGCCACAAGCTCCTCCTGCTCCTCGTCCTCCACGCCACTCAACGCTGCCAGAACCAGTGTCGCATCGACGAGGAGCGAAGAGTTCTCCTCTGCGGTGTTGGCGCGCGGGTTCATGTTTCCCTTCTCGTCCAACCACCATCGCCAAAACTCGATGGCGACGCCGGCATTCTCGTTGCTGCTGCTGCCCGCGCCGCCACCGACGGCACGGGCGAGTGAGTCGATCCGCGTCCGCAGCGGCGAGGCAAACTCGTAGCGGTCGCGGCCAGGCAGCGGCCGCACGGCAAATCGGCGGCTCGCCCAGCGACAAAAGCCCGCGGTCGAGCCGTCAAAGGCCGCCGCCGCCCGAAGCACAATCTCAGTCACAGTGGCGGCGCCGGCTGGTGCCGTGTCGATTTTTTCGAGAGCGGTCGTGATCAGCGGCGAGGTGACGGACGCGCCCAGCGCCCGCAAGACGGCGGTGAGGTGGAGGCGCATGTTTAGGCTGCCGCCCTCGGCCTCGAGCACAATCACCATGAACCCCTCGAGCGCGTCGACGGACGCGCCGTTGATGACAGCAGCCTGGAAGCCCACGTCGTTGATGAGCCACTCACGCGCCACCTCAATGCGGACGGGCGCCCACCCAAGAGTGAGCGGCCCGTTGCGCGCGGCGCGAGCGCAGACGGCCGAGCGCGTCGTCGTCCCCGGCAGCAAGGCGTGCCGTGCCTAGGAAAGGAGCAGAGGGCGTCTGGAAGCGATTCACGACCGGATGCTCTCTGTCTCCCGCACCTCCCGCGCGAGCTCCGCGTCTGTCGTCGAGAGAAGCTCCTCGTCAGACCACCCTCGGCTGATGGCGCGCAGCAGCTGCTCGAGCAGCGTGAGGAGCACGGTGATGTCGCGCCTCTCCTCGGAGACGCGGCCGCGCGGAAAGGTCTTGGGCTGCCGCCGCCTTCGGGCCTGCCCGGCGTACGGAAGCAGGCCGTCCGCCAGCATCACGTAGAGTAGGTTGAGGGCCGTGTCGTCGGCGGCCTGGAGCACGTGCCGCGTGCGCACGCGGCGCAGCAGCTTGCTCAGCAGAGGCCGGCTGCTGAGCTGCGCCGCGTTGAGGTCGAGGAAGGCCCGAGCCGTTCCCGCGAGCTGGCCCGACTCACCGAGAGGGTGAATCTCGAGCGCGCCGTCGTCGCTGCAGCCGACCAGTCCCGTCTCAACGGTCTGAGGCGGGCGCGAGCCGCCTTGCACCAATGGCCCGAGAGCGCAGCGTAAGCGCTCGTCGGCCACTTTTGGCACCAACTGGTCGCCGCCGCTAAGGCGCGCGCCTATCCAGGTGCTACGCAGCGCCTCGCGCAGCACCTCAGGAAACTTGCCCAGGTACTTGGCCAACCCAGCGAGCAGCGCCTCCGCCTTGGCCAAGTCCTCGTCCGTTCCGTCAGAGGAAGCCGCTTGCGCTTCAGGCCGGAGGCCACTGCCTTCTTCGGTAGCGGCCGCGGCCTGCTCGTAGAAGTCACCGGCCGACTGTTCCGATGCCGGCAGCGGAACAGGGGCGAGGTTGAGTTTCGAGAAGAGCTTGCGGGATGACATATTGTCCGGCATATTGGGAGGGCCAAGCAAAAGAATTTATGAAGCGAGTCCCCACACACTGGGCACGGGACTCCCCTCCTCCCTTGGGTCCGTTTATGGCACTAACACAGGTACACCAAAAGAAATCTGGGCGCTGAGCTGTCTCCACCGGGCACTATGTACTCATGTGCCGTGTCGGCGGCATCGGCGTGTTCGTGCTTTGCTACATAGTGCAGCGCGGCCGGAGCTGCTTTGAAGCATCGAGACGAGTTCGAGCACCTGCAGACGAGGGGGCTGTGATTGGTTGGTCGAGCGTGACGTGCGGCAGCGGCAGTAGCGGCAGCGGTTTTTTCTGCGGCAGCCCATCTGTGCCGGCCGCCCTTATTGAGCTTTTAGTGTGGGGTACGTCAAATAAAATTCTTTTCGCCGCGGTCCCGTCAGCCGGTCGTCCACCCGCCTCCCCACCAACATTATGCCCGCGCCCAAGGACTTTCAGCCCGCGCTGGTGCAGCAGCAGGGGCTGAACGGGTCACAGATGGTCCGCGTTCGAGTCAATGGCCGTGGCCCCACACCATCGATCACTGGACCACCAGAGGAGATGGCCGAGGTGATGGCAGGTCAGCCAGCGCCCGGATCCTCGCGCGGCGAGTTCGTATCGTACCTCCGGGAGCAGCTCGATCTGCGCGCCGCCGCGAAGGAGGCGGCGCTCGCGGCCAAGAAGGAGGAGCGCGCCGCCGCCGCCGCCGCGCAGCAGGCGGCGCTCGCGGCCAAGAAGGAGGAGCGCGCCGCCGCTGCCGCCGCCAAGAAGGAGGCGGCGCTCGCGGCCAAGAAGGACGAGCGCGCCGCCGCCGCCGCCGCCGCGGCAACTCTGACTCCCTTCGTCGCCCGCCGCTACATCACCCTTGCAGAGAACGCGCAGAGGCTCAATGACCTCGAAATCCAGCCGACGACGGAGTTCGAAGCGAGCAAGCGCGTCGCCGACATCGCCCGGGGCGCTGCGGCAGCACTGCCCGCCGCCACAGAGGCCTCGGTGGCCGAGGCGGCCGTCGAGGCCATCGAGCTCCACTTCCCGAAGCGCTGGAAGGGGAAGCGGGCGCGCGAGTCTGCCGACGTCGTCCGGCGCTCCGACCGGCTGAAGGGCCCCGCCGCAGCCGCCTCCTTCTCCGCCGCTTGATCCTCCTCCTCCGCCGCCGCCGCCGCCGCCGCCTCCTGAACCGCCCCCGCCCTGGGCACCGTCTCGCGTATGCATGCGGCATGACTCTTCTGGAGTTTTGGGACATGGGCAACTCTTCGGCATTTGAGTGCGTTGACATGGGCCTTGCAGCAACGACAGAGTCAGCGGCCAAGACCGAGAGCTAGCTGCAACGGTCTGACCACCGAGAGGTGCGCCGCGAGACGAATTCCGATTTTCACACGCTTTGGTTTTTGGCTTCTTGTGGGGGGGCCTCGAAAGGTTTGTTTGTGCGGCGGGAGGTGGGGTCGAGGGGCATGTCCGTGACGAGAGTCCTCGGTGGTACGTACGTTTATCTACGTTTACGTCGGGTCACGTGCAAACGTGCAAACGAACTGCTTCTGAGATGGCGCATGGCGCTAAAAGAATTTTTTCTCGAGGATCTTTATTCGATACGAGTTGCACATTCGAATCACCGTTGGCGTTGCAACTCGTTCCAACTCGCAACTCGTATCGAATGCACTCGAGATCCTTCGCTTGGGCCCGAAGTATCTAAACTTGGTTGCGTCAAAAATAAATTCCGCGACTGGCTGGCCTTTCCCCGCCTTTGTTTGCGTCCACACGCGTTTGCACGCCTCGCTCCATCGGCCAAGACAAGTCGTGCCATCGGCATCGAACGTCGCCATCGGCATGGAACGATCGGCATTGCACGTCGGGACGCGCCGCTTCGGCGAGTGTAGGTCCCCCGTCGCAGCATGATGCAACATGCATGTCGGCTCATTCTGAGGTTGTGCCGGGGCGGCGTGCAGCTCCCTCTGGTGATGGCCAGCATTGACCACGTGCGCATGAAAAGGGAGAGTTCTCCTGCTTCTGAGACCCGACCTGCTCTGCAGCAGGTGGTGAGTGTCGCTGAGGGCGGAGCTGCTGCTGCCAGCTATGCGTATGCGGCACCAATGCCAATGAAGTGCGTCTTCTCTCCCTGGCGCGACGGCAACTCGCAGCAACGGCGGCGCTGGCGGGTCGCACGCAGAGATTCGCAAAGATTCGCCTACTTTGGCGATCGAGAAGACCAACCGATCTCCGAGATCAGCCGAGATACGAAGGACCCAAAGGCCGACCCGGCGGCGCCTCCGTGGCAGACCCCCCTCTTCTGAGCCACCATGCACGGAGACATGCGGTCGGTCGAATCGAAAAAAAGAAAATAAAAAGCGCACCTCCTCCCCCTCCCCCCTCTCGACAGCGACAGTATCCACGATCTCCTCGAGTATCGCCAGCGACTCGATCTCGTCTCTGTCTTTGATCCAGTCCCGCAGCTCGAGCGAGCTGATGTCAAACTCTCGGCACGTCGGGACGATGCGGCGCCAGACAGGGCGCGCAAGTGCGGCGCGGACTGCACGGAGCTTGAACCGAGCGGAGTAAGGGTCGCGCTCCGTCGCGTCGGACGTGTCCACGCGCGGAGACAAAGCACGAGCCGCCATTCCACGTGCCTTGCAGGGTACAGTGGGTTGGTTGGACCTACCCCTTCGGAATTTTCCGTTTGATACGCCGAATTCGGTCAATCGAAATCATTCCGAGCTCGCTTTTTGTGATTTTTGTCCATCAAGTTCGACTCTTACTCGCCGGTCGGGTGGTCTGTTGCCACCGCGGTTGGCGCCCTAGGTAGGCAGGTACCCAAAAGGCTCCGCAATCGATCAATCAATTTATGCGGCCCGATGGGGAGGAGCGGGGGAGGAGCGGGGCGGACTCGCCTGCGTGGATCGCGTCACACCAATCCTCGCTACCCAACGCGGGGGCCAAGGATATCGACCTCCCTCGAGAACAGCACGGAACCCGAAAAAGAAAACATGCGGCGCCGCCGCATTTGCGGAGAGCGTGTCAAGCCGAGGCCTTGTGCGTGGGTGCAGCGTCTCGGGCGCGTGGACAGTGCTCGCGTTTTTCGCAGCGCTGCCGGCCCTGACCGCCCCATGCTATCGCTACTACTGCCAGCACTTGCTTCCGTGAATGTGAGCCTCGACATTCTCATCTTTCAATCGGACTCGCGCTTCACGTCGGCCGAAACTTGCCTCGGCGAGTGGTTCAACGGCACGTGCTGGCATGAAGAACCCGCGAAGACGGTCGTGGCGGCGGCCTTGACGGCAGTGGCGGACTTCAACTCGCGAGACGGTGCCGCTCTGCCCGTGCTTGGGTCCTTGGAAGGATGCGACAAACAGCTCAGGTTTCGGCTGCTCGACAGCGGCAGCACAGCTGGCACGGCGGTCCAAGCGCTGGGAGACTTGTCTGGCACAGACGTGGTCATCGGAGCCGTCCGAAGCGCTGTCACCGCCACCACTGCGGCCATCACCGGCGCGCTCGACATCCCACAGATCTCGTACTGGAGCACCTCTACCGATCTGTCGGACATTATCCTGTATCCCCGCTTCATGAGGACTATCCCCTCGAGCCTTGCTCCCGCGAAGGGCCTCTGCTCCTTTTGGAAAGAGCTTGGGCTCTCGACCGTGGCTGTCCTCTATGCGCGAAGCACGTACGGCCGCGCCTACGAGGAAGCAGCGAAGGACGCCTGTCTTGGCCTTGGGTTGACGTTTGTGAGCAGAGATATCCGCAATATCCCCGACGTCCCCGACTTCTATGATGTCTCAATTTACCAGCAATCGATCCGTTCCGCTGTCACCAGCCTGAGCGAGAGCGGAGCCAAGGCAGTGCTAGTCCTTGCATCCAAGCCGGTACTCGAACTTATCGTAGAAGCTGCACTCGACACCGGCCTGCTCCGAGCTGGCGTGTCTTGGAGCTTCTCTGACAGCGTCGTGCCAGAGCAACTGGACTTTTTGAGCGAGAAGGCGCGTACCGCGCTCAACGGCAGCCTGAGTATCAAGGCGGTCGGTGCGACCGAGGGCAGCCTGCATTGGACCAAGTTCGCAAACGAGCGTTGGGCGAAGCTTCAGCCCGGAGACTTCAACCCGTTCCTACCTGCCGACTGGCAGATCCGCGGCGACTTCTTCAGCACCGTCGATCCACACACGAGTACAGTGCTACGCAACGGCGGTGTGTTTGCTTACGATGCTATCATAGCGGCAGGGCTGCTGGCGTGCAAGGTGGCCCCGACGGGCAATGTGCCGGCCTCGTTTGGCACGCAGTTCTGGGCGTCCAAGCAGAGCCTGTCCTTTGACGGCCTTACTGGGCGCGTGGAGTTCGACGAGAAGGGCGACAGGAGCAGCGCAAACGTTCACCTGTTCAACCTGCTCGACCAAGGCGGCTTCTCCGAGAAACGCGTAGCGCAATTCGGCAACGGCACGTGGACTTGGGACGGCGGATCGCGCGAGAGCAGCGGCGTAATCTTCAACTTCGGGAAGGTCGAACCGCCTTTTGACGCGTCGCCACCGCCGCCGCTCCCACCGCCACTGCCGCCGTCGCCCCCGCCGCCGCCCCCGCCGCCGCCGCCACCGCTGCTCCCACCGCCACTGCCGCCGTCGCCCCCGCCGCCGCCCCCGCCGCCGCCTCCGCCGCTACCACCGCTCGCATCGACATTGGCACTGAACGGCGAGGATAGTCTTCCTCTCCCCTATCTCCTGGGCATCATCAGCGTCGGTTTGATGCTGTGCATCGGTCTATTGCTGTACTGCTGCCTACCCGGCTGGCTTATACCGCCGCTATCGCGCATCGCCGCGTTCCACGGCACGAGACCATGGACGCTGCTCCGCAGGCGCATCTCACGGTGCGCTCCCGTGCGCTTCTGCGTAGGCTGCGCACGAGCGGTGCGGCGGGCGTGCAGCAGGGGTCGGACGACGCCGTTCTTGCGTCCTACCGCCACGCCTCGCGTTGTGTGGGAGCGGATCTGCCGCAGGGCCAACAAGGAGCCGGCCGAGGGCCCTCCCGACATCGAGCGGCGCCCGTTTGTCGAGCAGCGCCTGTGGGCCTCGGTGCTGGAGCAGAGGCTGTGGGGGACGGCCGCGCGCGAGGCTGCACAGCTTCGCGCGTGGCTCCACGAGACTCGGAACACGACGCCCTTCATCGAGGCGTGTGTCGAGAAGCTGCTCTCGAGGGGCGGGCCCGCGGCTTGCACGCTGCACCGCGGCTACAATGATGACGGCTGTGAGGATTCTCCAGACCTCGAGGCGCCGAGACTCATGAGGACGATCTCCGCGCCCCTCGTCGAGCAGTCCCGCGCGTCGCTGAAGATGAGGGACCTGCTTCGCTTCTGCCTCAACGAGCAGGGCGCGGGGGGGAGGATGTTGTGGGAGGAGTGGAGGGCTGCTCTCTGTGACCTCCGGTCAAAGGAGAAGCACCGCGACGCGTTCGTCCGCTGCGACTCTGCCTCGAGGCAAGCGCCAAGGAGCGCGATGGGGTCATCCGAGGCTGTGGCCCTCTACGGAGGGCGCGATGCCGCCGCCGAAGGTGCAGTCGGCCCAACAGCCCCCGCGTCCCGCCCGGGCGGGGGCCTCCCCCACACGAGCGGGAGCTGGTGGCCTCCTCTGCCGGTGCTCTACCAGCCCCCGATCTCGCAAGGGGGCGCGCAGGCGGGCAGCAGCCGCACTCTTCCCTCTGAACCCATCTCGGTGCACGAGTTCGCCTCCCTCCTGCTCTCGCCGTGCAACAGCGCCATCGAGCAGAGGAGCGCCCCGAAGGAGGACGCGACCGAGCCGCTCACCAGCTACTGGATCGCCTCTTCGCACAACAGCTTCCTCGAGGGCGACCAGCTCACCTCCGCCGTGTCTGCCGACATGTACCGCCGCATCCTGCTCTCGGGGACTCGCTGCCTCGAGATCGACTGCTGGGACCCCACCGCCTTTGGGCGGTGGTGGGGCCAGGGCCCGCGCGTCACTCACCGCATGCCGGGAGGGGTCCCTCTCCTCTGCGGAAGCGTCGCCTTCGGCGAGGTGGTCGCTGCGATCGCCGAGCACGCCTTCACCGCCAGCCCTCTCCCCGTGATCCTGAGCATCGAGATGCACTGCTCGGCGAAGCAGCAGAAGAGGATTGCCAAGGAGCTCATCAACACCCTCGGCGACCTGCTCTCGCGCAGCGACCGCGTCGAGAGCACGCCCCTCCGCGAGCTGCACCGGAAGGTCCTAATCAAGATGCGGCTCGATAAGGGAGGGGTGACCACGGACCCGCTCCTCCGCACCCTCGTCACGCTGCCCACGAGCTCCATTGGTTCGTCGCCGCCCGTGGAGGACGACAGCGGCAGGCGGCTCGGCCGCATGGCGAGCTGGAAGGTGCTCGGCGGCCGCTCCCTCCACCGGGGCGTCTGGGGCTGGCTCCGCGGCGTGCCTCGTGAGTGTCACTCAAAGCGCGACCGTGACAGCAGGGCCACGCAGAAATCCGAGTGGTCTCTCAGCTCGACCTGCTTGATCCGCGGCCCGTCGCCAGCGGAGGAACCGACGAGCGAGCTCTCGGGCGCCAGGGTGCCGCGCCGCGGTATCGTGAGCTTATCCGAGGAGCGGCTGGAGCGGCTGGTGAGCGAGCAGGGAGGATGGCTGCCCCTCACTGCCTCGCAGCTCGTGAGAACCTTCCCCTCTCCGACTCGGTGGCGGTCGAGCAACAACAATCCACTCGTGCGCGCCCGCCCCCTCGCTCTCATCACCTCACCTAAACCCGCATCCCATCTCGCTACCAGCGAAGCGAACACTGCCTCCCCCACCCCCGCCACAGGCGGCGTGGCGCGCGGGTGTGCAGATGGTGGCTCTGAACCTGCAGACGAACGACGCTCTCCTCGGTCTGCCGGTGCAGCTCCACGACGCCCTCTTTCGCGGAAGCGGCGGCTATGTACTCAAACCCGCGGCGCTCCGTGCGCCCGATCGGGCGATCGCGTCCCCGGTCCACTTGATGGCGCCCGAGGTGAGGACGGCGACGAGCTGGACCAACAGGAGCCCCTTGACCCCGACTCGCTTGCTCTTTGGCTCTGGCAGTGATCTTCTGTTGTCGTGTGAGAGCAGCCTCGGCCGCCGCTCGTCTTTGGAGAGCGAGCCCCTGCAGAGGGAGCCATCGCGACTCGGCAACTCCACGACAGGGAGGGGGAAGCTGTGGCCGCCGCCGCGGGAGGAGGTGCATCGGACGGAGCTGAAGGCGCGCGCTCGTGCCCGCCTCGCCGGCCCTCCCCCTCGTCAGCCCACCGAGCGACCCACCGCGCAGGTGCTCTCCCTGCACCAGCTCCCGACGCGGGACGAGTGCCGGCCCCTCCTCGGCGAGCCCCACCACCCCTTCGTCTCGCGCCTCAGCGACAGCCCCCGCCCGCCCAGCGGGGCCCGCGCCAGCGTGTCGTGCCCGCGCGTTTGCGTCGAGCTCCACGCCATCGACGGCTTCTGCGCCGTCGCGCGCGAGCCGCAGCCGCCGCCCGAGGCGCAGGGCGTGACTCGGCTCGTCACCGCGGTCGCGGAGGGCAACGGCCTCAACCCAACCTTTGACGAGACCTTCCACTGCCTCGCGGCCGAGCCTCACCAGACCATCCTCCGGGTGGTGGTGGAGGACGAGGGGCGGCTGGTGGCGTACGAGACGGCGATGCTCGGCTCCCTCCGCTGCGGCTACCGCTGCCTGCACCTGCGCTCACCAAGCGGCACCCAGATCGACTCGTGCTGCCTCCTCCTCCACATCTCCGTCTCCACCGAGCCAAACACCTACGGCACTGTTGATGAGCTGCGCAGCAGGGTGCAGTCGCAGCGCTCGCGCATCAGCCAGCAGAGCCGCGACATCCACCACTTAAGCGCAGAGCTCTCGCGGCTCGGAAGCCAGTCGTCGTCGCCGGTGCTGTCCCCCGCGCCGAGCTGTTTGAGCGCACGCTGGCCGTTGGAGCTAGCGCTGGATGCTGGGGTCAGTGGGGCTCGAGCTGGCCGGCCGTCGCCGATCGCGCTCCCTCCCGGCGCCACGCTGACAGTCGGTCGCGACGCGTCGAGCGGCGTTGCCCTGCTCCCGCGAATCGATGCGCAGCGCATCTCGCTCCAGCACGCCGTGCTCCACGTCGCCGCAGACGGTCGCAGCGTCCGGCTCGAGGATGTCTCGCGCAAGTATGGCTGCCGTGTGCAGCAGCCGGGTGGCGAGCCGGTCGTCCTGCAGTCTACAGCCGAGGAGGTTGCGAGCGCCCAGCTACGTGAGGGCAGCGTGCTAACCTTTGGGCAGCCCGACGCGGAGGACGAATTTCGCTACGTCCTTCGCGCTGCTTGCACCCTCAGCAAGGACAGTGATGACTCTAGCTGCGACGGCGATAACGAACGTGAGCAAGCTTCGCCGCCGCTGCCGCCGCCGCCTTCGCTGCCGCCGCCTTCGCTGCCGCCGCCTTCGCCGCGGGCCTTCTCCTCATCGCCCTTGGTGCCGCCCGAGCACCGGACCCGCCCCTCTGCCCCGAGGCCGCTCGCCTTTTACGCCGGCGCTGGCATCTCCCCCGCTTCGGCGCCACAGCAGCGCCGTTGCGTGCGCTAAAGAGGCAGGGAGTCGACAGCTCGACACGGGAGGGAGTTGGCCGAGCGGATCGCCAAGCGTGTGGAGTAATTTTCCAGCCGCGTTTTCTTTTCTGTGAAGTCTTTTCTCACATAAATAAATAGAGCAGACATCTCCAGGAGAGATGGGACGCACGAATTCTTTTCTCACTGTGCACATGCCAACTCCTCTTTTCTCAGACTTGGCCCAATTCTTTTTCTCCAACCTGTGTGCTGTGCGAGTGAGTTCTTTTTGTTGAATTCCTTTTCTCACTCCGATCCGCGAGGTGTGTGTGCCGCACGCCGGGCCCACAAGAATCGCACCATGCTGCAGATCATCCTGGCTCTCGGAGCGCTGCTCGCCCCGCACCCGGTGCTACGGAGCCGCCGAATCGCAGTCGGGATGAACGAGGCATCGCAAGCACCGCCGTCGCCTGTCGTCGTCTCAGTCGTCCTGCCCGAAGGCAAGGCTGCAGGTGACCTTCTGCTCATTCAGCCCCCACGCGGAGCCCAGTGCCAGGTAGTTGTGCCGGAAGGCGTCGCGCCGGGCCAGAGCTTCTCCGTGCAGCTCCCTCCCACGGTGAGCGCCGTCTCTTCGCCGCCGCCGCCGCCGCCGCCACCGCCACCGCCGCTGCCGCCACCGCCGCTGTCGCCGCCGCCAGCACTGGCCGAGCCTAGCCTGCTCGGTAACTTCGTCACACCCGAGACCAACCCGTACGTGACGAGCAAGGCGCGGCGTGTGCGCGCAAAGTTTGGGGACGACGCGGCGGGTTTTGTTGACCTGAGTGACTCGGGCGAGCGGGCCAAGCTGTCCCGCCTCGAGAGCGACCTCGCGCAATTCAAAGCTGAGCGTGGGCTGGCCGACAGGAGGCTGGCTGGCGGCGCCGCGGCTGAGCTGCAGGAGGAGGAGGAGGCGACGCCGCTCGCGCGCGTCATCAACACCCTCGGCACTGTGCTCACCTTCAACTTTTTCGTCATCATCCTGTTCTTTGCCTGGTGGGCCGCGCCGCGCCCCTCCCGCAGCTTGGCATACCCCCGCCCGTCCTGACGGCCTCGCGCCCGCCCCGTGCGCCAGGTTCCTCACCGGCGTCGGCCTCCAGTTTGGCGCGCACGACGAGGCGGTGATGAACACGTTTCGCACCGCGTGGGACCCGCTCATCCTGCCTCTCCTCTCGACGCACATGGCCCTCACCTTCCTCTCGGCGGGGCTCGAGAGGCTAGCCAAGCCGGCGGAGGAAGGGTATCACGCGAAAAGGAATCGACGCAAAGCATACAAAGGCTCGAGAGCCCCTCCTCGCCCATGTTGATGTAGAGCGAGGAACCGCCGCCCGAGATCCCGACGTCGAGCGTCGGCGGCGTCTCCTCCCCGTCGCCCACGACAAAGGGCAGCCGCGCGACGATCGCAGTGATGTCGTCCCGATAGTTGCCCTCCTCCTGCTTCCACCAAGCTGCCGCCATCTGAACCAGCTTCATGCACGCCTGCGAGGCGTTAACCGCCCCGCTCAGCAGCTCGGAGGCGACGATATCGCACGCCTCCTGCGAGTCGATGAACTCCCACACGCCGTCGCTCGCCACGATGATGAAGCGGTCGCCGTCAGCCTTCTTGTCGTTCGCCGGCGCCGGGGTTATCTCGAACTTGCGGATCTTTGGGTCGCAGATGACGCCAAACTTTTTGACCTCGCCGTCGCCGATCGAGCGCGACATGGCGAGCCCCACCGCGCCATTTGCCCATACCCGCGCCGGCACGCCCGGCCGGCCGCCGCCCGAGACGACGCCGCCGCACTTCTCGATCCGCTTCTTCTCCTTTGGGTCGTCCGGCTTGCAGTCCTCAGACAGGTCGCGCGCGCGGATGCTGCCCTTTGAGGAGTAGCCGAGCACCGCGCGGCTGTCGCCGGAGCAGGCGGTCCAGAGGGTGCGGCCCTGAAGGTAGACGATGATTGAGGTGCAGCCGCACATCAGCGCGAACCGCCCCTCCGCCTTGCGCAGCACTGAGCGGTCCACGTCGCAGACCGCCTTCTCCAACGTCGCCTCCGTGCTCGCGCGCAGGTCGCCTTTTTCCTGCAGAGCGGTGGGGATCTTGCGCATGCAGTACTCTGCGACCTTTTCACCGCCACTGCCGTGCCCGTCGAATACACAGAAGAGTGCCTCGTTCTGCGACCCGTTGAACGGGTGGTGCACCACGCCCCTGTCCTGGTTGATCTTTGCGATGCCCTTGCCATTGCGGCCGGGGCTGAGGCCGTGGCGCGTGGCGTTGCCGAGGGTGGCGGAGAGCGCCCCCGACGAGAGTCCCGTCTGCTCGTCGCGCGGCGAGTTCAGCTGATCAGGCGCGTAGGCGACCGAGAGGCGCGATGCCTGCCGGGTGGAGCGCGGGGTGAGAGGGTGCTCGGCCGACGAGTGGTGGGAGAGGCGACAGCGCGAGAGAGGGCGCAAACTCGAGCCATCGGGCGAGAACACTGCAACCTCATAGCGAGAGGGGTGTGTTGCGATAGTGTGCGGCGTGGAAGCTCCATCTTTGTGAGGCGTTGTGCATGACGTGGTTGCAAATACCTTTGGCCCCCCGCCGTCGTCGTCCTGGGAGACCGGTCGCGACTTGGGCTCCACCGGAGTGGAGCGCTCGAGCGGCTTTTGCTTCGGCGCACCGGGCGCCGGCCGCTCCTCCGGCTTGGCAGCCGCGGCAAAGCAGCAACAGAGCGACTTCATGTCGCGCCTCGACGTCGTCCGTCCGTCGCCGATCCGGAGCTTTTATTCCACAGGACGCATGCGGGCACGCAACCTCTTTTTCAGTGTTGGTAAATGCTGACGGGGAGTTTCAGTCTCTCTCTCTCTCTCTCTCTCTCTCTCTCTCTCTCTCTCTCTCTCTCTCTCTCTCTCTCTCTCTCTCTCTCTCTCTCTCTCTCTCTCCCCCCCCCCCCCACACACACACACACACACGCACGCACACACTCAAACAAAGAAACAAACAGTAGGGGTAGGGGACGTTTTTGAGTAACCGTGTCGCAGCCCCCAGGATAACATCGATGCGGCCACATCACCGTGGATTACCGCTTCCCATCTGAACAGCGAAGCGGTCAAGCACGCTGCACGGGGGAGGGAAGGCTGAGTGCTGCATGTTTTGCCTCTTACGATCAACTGAGCCCTGGTCTGACAGCCTGACAACAACCCCCGGACAGCGCCTGACAGCGCCCGACAGCCTGACAGCGCTGACAGCACTTTTTCCGACAGCCTGAAGAAAAAAAACATACACCAGACATTTTTCTCTTTCCTGGTTGACTCCCCTTAAATTTCTTTTTCTCGCGATGTCCACCCCGCCGCGCCGCCGCTCGCGCCGCCTCGCCTCCGCCCCCCCCACCGCCGCTCCGTCGCCAAGCCTGCCGCCGCCCACCCGCCTCCTCGACCTCCCCACGGACCTCCTCGTGCGCGCCATCTCTCGCTGCGACCCCGCCGACATCGCTCGCGTCGCAGCCGTCTCGCTTCTCTTCCACGCCTCGCTGGCGCTGGAGGGCATCCGCTTGCGGGCGCAAGAGTGCGGCTACGAGCTGCCGGCGCTGCCAGAGGGCGAGAGCTGCGCCGTGCGGTGGCTGTGCTATTCGGCCTTTCTATGCGAGTCCAACCCGCCGGCGAGGGCGGCGGCAGGCCAGTATCACAGCCTCTTCATTGACGGCGAGGGGCGGCTCTCGTCGTGCGGCTCTACGCCGTCCTACTTGCAAGAGCTACTGGGCCACGGCGAGGGCGTGACGCGGCTCAACACGCCGACCCGCCTCCCGTCTTCTCTCCGTGCCATGAGTGTGTCGGCTGGAGCCGCACACAGCCTCGCCCTCACCGGCGGAGAGGTCTGGAGCTGGGGCAGCGGCAGCTCTGGCCGGTTGGGCCACGGCGATGAGCAGCACCAGTGGCAGCCACAGAAGATCGAGGCGTTGGCGGGCCAGAGTGTCGTCGCCGTTTCGGCAGGAGTGAGCCACAGCCTCGCCCTCACCACCGACAGCGCCGTCTGGAGCTGGGGCAATGGTTTGTTCGGCCAGCTGGGCCACGGCGACACGCAGCAGCTGTCACAGCTGCTGCCCAAGAAGGTCGAGACCTTGGCTGGCCAGCGCGTCGTCGCTGTGTCGGCTGGAGATAGTCACAGCCTCGCCCGCACCGCCGACGGCGCCGTCTGGAGCTGGGGCTTGGGAGGCTTTGGCCTGGGCCACGGCTACCAGCATTTCCAGCTGCTGCCGAAGAAGGTCGAGGCCTTTGCTGATCAGCGTGTCGTCGCCGTGTCGGCTGGAGGGATGCGCAGCCTCGCCCTCACCGCCGACGGCGCCGTCTGGAGCTGGGGCTGGGGAGGCTTTGGCGGCCTGGGCCACGGCGACGAGCAGGACCAGCTGCTGCCAAAGAAGATCGAGGCCTTTGTCGGCCAGCGCGTCGTCGCTGTCTCGGCTGGAGCCAGCCACAGCCTCGCCCTCACCGCCGACGGCGCCGTCTGGAGCTGGGGCGAGGCAGCCGAGGGCCAGCTGGGCCACGGCGACACGCAGAGGCAGCTGCTGCCGAAGAAGGTCGAGGCCTTTGCTGGCCGGCGCGTCGTCGCCGTCTCGGCTGGAACCAGCCACAGCCTCGCCCGCACCGCCGACGGCGCCGTCTTCACGTGGGGCAAGGGCGAAGACGGCTGCCTAGGCCACGGAGAGGACTTGTCGAACCAGCTGCTGCCCAAGATGGTCGAGGCGTGGGCGCCGGGGCGGTGAGTAGGCAAGGCGTGAGTGCGAGGCGGCGAGGAGCCGAGCAGGAGCACTAGCCGTGGGCTTCAAACAAAACACAACCCCGGAAGACGCACAAGCACAGACAGTCGAGAAAGGGATAGACAGCAACGACAGTCAGAAGTCAGCGCTGGTCCGTGGGCTTCACCGCTGGCGACACGCTACGAGCTTTTGAGAGCTTGTGAGCCGCGAGCTTGCGAGTTTGCTCTCTTGCGGCGTTGCTCCGGCGTTGCGCGTGGCCGCTCGTGCCGTTCCCGTTGCCGGTTGAGGACAGAAGAGGGACTCGGGTTGTCCCAGGAAAAGAAAGCGCAGGTCACGCCTCACCGCTCACGCCTCACGCCTCAAGGCTCCCACCAACCTGCTCAGCAAACAGCAAGTCCCACACCCGCCTCCTCGGTAGGCCCTCGAAGCAGCACGATGCTTCGCCCGGATCGCCTCGCAGCAGTCGCGCCTCCTGCGGCCTCTCGCTGTCCGGCACATGTCCGGTGAGGCGAGGCCCATGACGCGCTTCGTTCAGGCGATAGTCCACGCCCTGAGGCCCCCGCGAGCAGTGCAAACATCCATCGCTTCCATGCCTCGAGGAGCGATATACCGGTTGTCACCCGTCGTCATAGACGCCGAACGAAAACGCCTCTCAGTCTCCTCGAGATTGAGATTGGGTTTGAGGCTTGGAAAATGAATGTTTTAGTGGACCATATCCCCCCCTAGGACGGTGGTGGACTGTGTGGTGTGGAGAACTCTGGAGATGCGAGAGAGAGAAATTTTACCAGATGCCAAAGCCACACGACACAAGGTCGTGCACAGGGCGGGGAGCGGGGGACACATGTTCCTAAATCCCATCTCGACTCAGAGTTTGACTGTCTCATTGAATTATAATATACCTCCCACTCTGCGCGCGGACAAAGCATGTCAGGACTGTCAGGACAGGTGCGGGAGGTCCACAAACCAGGTTACAAATTCAGTGATCAGCACTGCCCTCCGCTCTTCCACGCGTCAGCTCGACCCTGCTCCGATGATAGCTCGCGGCCTAAATGTGCGGCGAGCCAAGCAGATGCCAGCGATGCTCCACAGGCTCATGAGTGTCAACACGGATGCACGCCGGACTTGATCCGGCACGTTGACGAGCCGTAGAGGGCCGGCTTCCGGGTAGGCGTCCGGCCAATCGCATGCACAAAGCAGAAAAATGGGAGGCCAGACGATGAAAGAACCAGCGGCGTCGCGCGCGGCCGACGAGGCAATCGCCACGCTAGCTCGACGCACCAAGCTTTGGAGGTCTGGCTGGTTGCTCGAGCGCGCGAGGCGCTCGCCACGTCGGATGCTAATGGCAAGACTGCTAGGAGTCCAGGCAAGCAGGTATGAACAGGCAAGCATGAAGAAGATGCCTTGGGTGAATGTCGAGGTCTCTCGAAACCATGCGCTGAGGCCCAAACAAAAGCAAAACGCAGGGAGCAACAACAAGAGGAGGTTGGAGTACAGTGTAGTTGAGCCACTGACTCGTTGCAACACCTGCTCCTTGAGTTGTGTTCGTACCATGTGATTGAATGCGTCCAACCCATCGGTCCCACCTCGCAAATAGATGGCACCGATTGCGGCATAGATCTCGTCGCGGTCAGTTGCACTATAACAACCAGCCACTCTCACGTCAAACGACTCCAGGCAGCGTTGTAGAGCTATCCGCTGAAGTGCCATGGAGGCTCCAAAGAGGGTGACGCAAACGATGCAGAGGAAGTAGAGTACAAAAGAGAGTGCTGCCAATATTGGCACCGTGAATTGCCAGTAATCATCACCCACCAAGACTCTCTCTCCAGTTGGACCGTGCATCGATCCTGTCAGGTCGCCACGGTATAAAAGCATCATAGACAGCAAAATCACGCCAATTCCCACCGCGACTGCTGCCATCATCACACCAAAGACGACGGCGCTGCGTAGCGGCAGGAAAGTCACTGGCCTGTTCGGATGGATCGCTCTGTACATTGCGAGTTCGTAGACGCACCAGAGGCGGCTGAAGTAGTGCTCGTCCCAGAGCACAACCAGCTGAGAGGACATTGCGACGAACCCAGCCAGGTGCCGGATGCCCTGGGTCTTCAGAGCTTGGTTTGTCTGGTGGATGCAAGCCGCGTCAACAAAGTATGACCGCCGTCGCTGCGCCGCCAGCCAAACAAACACTGACGCGGTGGCGGCTATCAAGCCAGCGACGTACTCGTGACAGGATGCGATGAGAACGATCGGGTTCTCAGCCACCACCCGTGTTCGGACGTTTCCGGGGAGTTCGATTGCAGGTGAGCCATCAGCAGGCTGGCGACAATACCGACGACCAGTGGCGCAAGCCCGACCTCGTGCAGAGCGAGAGCCATCCACTTGCTCCAACCCTCCGACCGCCACGCGTGCGAGCAGAAGGAGTCGATGGCACAGACAGGGCGCGACCGCTCATAGAGACGTTCTCGGTCCTCACGGTCCAGCTTATCCGGCAGCTTGGCGAAAACATTGTTGAAAGGAGAAGAAAGTGTGCTGGCGATGCTGACGCCTCTCTGGAGCTCTTGCGGCGGATGGAGCGTGCTGGCTGCAGCGATGTACTTGGAAACGTTCACCGCCTGCGCTACGGCGGACTCGCTGGACTGCAACGACGCCGGCGAGGTATATCTCTCGTGCATCCTGGCCGGTTCTTGGGTCTGGCTAATGCGGAAGCGCAGAGTCCTGCTAATGCAGGCGCGGCTTCGTACACCCTTCCTTGCAGCGAGCCCCCCTTTAACCCTTTTGCTTCATAAGGGTCCTGAGGACCAAATCTCGATATATCTCCAGTCGTAGCGGTGGAACTTTAAAACGGCTCGGTAAATATTTACATATATGAGAGGATTACGGCACAGTGTCGTTTGAGTCGACAGTAACTCTCCCACAGCCCACGTAACTCCGTCTTTTTCAGGCACCCGGAGCCCGCCGCAGCCGCTTCTACGCCGGCGAAGCACCATCAAGCTGCTGTACGGCCCCGGCATCGCCTCCCCTGGCTTAGCTCTCAGTCAAGATATTGTGCACATGGGTGGCCTCTACAATATACTCACTGACACTGAACCTCCCAGAGCTCGTCCCGGTCCGTCACGGCCATCCTCGTCCTCCGGCGGGCCCCCGGCCGCGGCGCGGTGCGGCGGCGTCACAAATCCGACCACAGAGCACCGGGACGCGGTCGGGCGATCTGAGGCCCAGGTAGGCGAATGCATTGCCCATCCAGGGCTATCACCTGGACCTATCAACAGGCGCCTGCGGCGCCGTGCTCAGGAGTTGGTTTTCACTCGCTCGAAATGTGTACGTAAAAGGGTTAACCCACCCGCGCTAGGACCTAGGTCTCGGGCGGCGAAGGGGTCACACACATCCGACGACCTCGGGAACTAGCCGGGGCAGTCGGAGAAGGGGCAACTCCGTGCACTGACGGTCGGCCGCCAGAAACCACGTGCGTGGATCGCGTCTGCAGCGCGTCACACCAATCCTCGCTACCCAACGCGGCCAAAGGATATCCACCTCGAGAACCTCGAGAACCTCGAGAGGCGCGGTGCGGCGCCACACAGGTGGACGTGTGCGGTCCTGGATCAGGATTCCGCGGAGATTTTTCCGGTGCATATGCCTTCAGCTCTCGGCAAATGTCTTCAACTCTCTGGGACCGGCCCCAGCTTCGGCTGAGGGCTGACAAGCTGCCGAGCCCAAATCACTTGAGAGCCGTCGCTCGATCGAGAGACACGAGTGACGAGACACGGAGCGCAGAGAGAATAACTTTTTCGAGTGGCACCTCGCTGCGCGACATCCAAGATCCAACGAGCGCCGATCCAGTGCAGTCCGCCCAGAGCGGCACAATCTCGCTCCGGGTCGGCGCGCGCGCGCGCGGTCGCGCGTTTCTCATCACTCATCTGGGCGCAGAGTAAGACCGAACAGCAGCGCCGCCGCGAGCTGGGCGGCGGGAACCTGCTTCACGATCCCGTAGTGCGCGGGGAAGGAGGGGTCGAAGCCGACGGCCCCCACCTTTGCAGCCAAGTAGACGGCGCCCAAGCCCTTGAGGCCCTTGGAGATGGTGCGGCACGCCTGAGGCAACGGTCGGTGATGACTCCTCCACACACAGGAGTTGATATGCGCACGGGGCAACAGGCGACCTTCGCAACTCCACGTCCAAAGTCAAGAGCCGCACGGCAGCTGGAGAGCAAGGCCCCAGTGCTTTTTTTTTCCCTCCCTCCCTCCCTCCCCCCCCCCCCCCTCTCTCTCTCTCTGTGTCTGTGTGTGTGTGCATGCGTGTGCATGCGAGTGGTGCGTGTGGTCCACGCCTCGTCGGCGCGCAGCTTGCCGCTCTCGGCCGCCTCCTTGAGGTTGAAGGACGAGGCGGCGGCGAGCAGCGTCCACGCGGCGAAGGCGCGCGAGCAGCGCCGTCCGGTCCACGAGGGGACGACGGCGAGCGGGAAGGTGCCTAATCAGTATTCACTACTTATTAATTATCAACTAGTCCACGAGGGGACGACGGCGAGCGGGAAGGTGCCTACGCGGCGGCGCGGCTCTCTCTCTCTCTCTCTCGCGCGCGTGTGGTTGTCGTTTGTCTTGCAATGCTGGCGGGGGCGAGCCTGCGAACGGGTTCCGGGAGGCTGCGAGGAAAGGTCCGGGAAAGGAAGGGGCGTTCTACCAACGGTGCACCGAGCGCAGTCGCGGTGAAGGCGAGGAAGGAGACGGAGAGGAGCGAATACTTGACGATGACCTGTTCATTACGAGTCATCATGATTAGCTGCTCGTAATGAGGAGAGGAGACGCGAGTACTTGGCGATGACCTATTGATGACTAGCCCGTTCAGAGGCAACTTGGCGGGAGAGAGGAGCCGGAAGCGCGTGACGAAGGCCGGGTCGTCCGCGCGAGCAGGGCCTATTAATTATTTTTCATAGGGATTACTATATGAACTACTATTATTAAGGCCGGCTCGTCTGCGCCAGCAGGACCTACTCGTGACTGGTTCGCTCCGCGGTCACGAGGGGAAGGAGTGACCGCCTCGCCGTCCTCTATCGGCTCGAGCCCAAACTGACGAGCGACTGGGCGACGCCGTCCGCCACACGCCCCGGCCACGACAGCGGCTTCCGGCGCGCCTGCGCCGGAGGAGAAGTGTCGGGGAGAGGGGCGGCGGCCTCCCGCACAGCCCCCTCCGGGGAGGAGCTGTTGTCGAGATCGTGGGAGATGCGCCGAGATGCGCCGAGATGCGCCGAGATGCGCCGCGCCTCCTCGGGGAGGGAGCGGGCCCAGACGGCGGCGCTCAGCGCGGCGGTCGAGCCTTAGGGAGAGGGGGGGGGGGGGTGAGGGGGGGAGGGGGGCGCGGAAGCGCCGGGGCGTGCCGCTGTGTGCTGCTGGGATGGTACTGAGTGTGTCGCTCTCGTGCCGCTGTGTGCTGCTGAGGATAGCCGCGCTGCCGAGCGTGTCGCTGCGTGTGCTGCTGGGGCGGTAGCCGATGACGCTGGGCTGGCAGCGCACCGTACGCGCCCAACAGTGCGGCGCGCTGCAGGCCGGAGTAGGACTGGTGCGAGACGAGCGGAGAGGAGCCTGCGCCATGAACACGAGATATGGGGAGATACGGGGAGATATGGGGAAGATGGGGAGATATGGGGAGAGGAGCCTGCGCCATGAACTCAGGGCGGGGGCAGCCATGTGTTGAGGGCATGCATCGGTGGAGGCGGGCTGTGCATTCGGAGCATCGTTCGAAAGCAGGGGTCCGCAGGGGCGGTTGTCAGCATCTCGGGAGCGGTGCCGGGGATCTGCGTGATCAGAGGTGCGAAGCCGACCCAGAGAAGGCTACCGAGCCCGGCGGCGACGAGGGCGAGGTTGATCCTGCGGCACGTGGGTGACCCGAGCCGCTCCCAGGAGTCTGCGGACGCCGTCGCAAGCGTGCTGTAGCAGCTTGCGATCAGGGGCAGGGCCGATAGCACACTGGTCCGAGCAAAGACGCCGTGCGTGGAGCTGGGCATCATCGCACCGAGCGGCTGGTTGGAGCGGATCGTCGTGAAGACGACGGTGGTCCAGGCGGCGCCGGTCGCAAGGCCCACCGCGCCAAACAGCGGCTGCAGGAGCCGCGGCGGCTTGTCGAGTGGCTTCTTGGCGGCCAAGAGATTCTCCTCGTTTCTGCGTGTCGCTGAGAGGAGCTGCCGACTTCCGGGAGCGTGCATCGCAGTGCAAGCGACGGCGAGGAGAAGCACCTGCATTTTGCCATCCTGGTGAACTCAACGGTTACGAAAAAGAATTTTCATCACGCACAACACCACACCCCTCTCCCTTTAAAATCCCTGTGTGGTGGCGGCGTGCCGTTCTCCCATCCCTCCCTTGGGTTGTGTGTTTTCTTTCTTTCTTTCTTTACCCCTCTCCCTTGGGTTGTCTGTTTTCTTTCTTTCTTTCTTTCTTTACACCCCTCTCCTTAAAATCCCTGTGTGGTATTGTGGTGGCGGCGTGCCGTTCTCCCATCCCTCCTTTGGGCTGTCTGTTTTCTTTCTTTCTTTCTTTTACTGGGCGGGCCCACAAGCCTCCTCGCCTCCTCCCTTTGGCCCCGTAGAACTCCAACCCAGAGTTGTGCCTCCCGCGTTTGTAGCCTGGCGTTTGTGGTTTGTGCCGCGTCCCGTGCCCCCTAGTTCATTTTAATTAACCCAGAGTTGGAGAGGGTTTTCAAAACCGCAAAAGGCATTGCGTTCATTTCCGTAAAAAACACGTCATCGCAAACCCTGTCACCCCCCCCAGCCGCTTAAACTGAAAAAGAGAAAAATCGGCCGCCAGCATCGCGGGTGCCATCGCGGGCTTTCATGGCTCTGTGCCGCCACACCAGTTCCCTGTCTCTCTTCCTGCTCCTCTCCGCTGCCGCAGCGCTGGCTGTGACGCCAGCCGCGCCGAGAGGAGCGCTGCGCCCTGCAGTATCTCGCCCGAGGCTGCGCCACTTCGGCCAGAGGTCGGAGGTGCTGGTGCTCAGCGCCGATCCACCCGCACAGCGTGGAGCCGTGCGCTCAGGCGCAGCCGTGCGCTCGGCTGCAACCGGTGCGCTCCTCCCGATCTGGCTCGCCGTCTTTGTGCAAATGGTGGGCGTGGGCATCAACTTATCGACGTTGCCGCTCTTCGTCCTCTCGCTGGGCGGCACGCCCCTCCAGCTGGCCTCTGTCGTCTCCGCCTTCTCGGGGGCGCAGATGCTCGGAGGGCCACTCCTCGTCCGCGTCTCTGGCCGCGTTGGCAGGTTCGAGCACACGCCACGCCGGCTGTCAGCAGCCACACACACACACACACACACACACACACACACACACACACACACACACACACACACACACACACTCCAGCTATCCTACCCCTCACCCCTCCTCCCTCCTCCCTCCACCCTTCACCCTCCTCCCTCCTCCCTCCTCCCTCCTCCCTCACCATCGCAGGCTCGCGGTCCTCCGCTGCTGCCTCGCCGGGAACGCCCTCGCCGCCCTCCTCACGTCAGTCGCGCCAGGCTACCGCTGCGTCGCCCTCTGCCGCGTGCTCGCCGGACTGTTCGCTGCGAGCGTGCCGGTGGCACAGGCGGCGGATGTACTTTGGATGTACCTCGGCTGTACCTCGGCTCTATCTCGGCTCTATCTCGAGCGTGCCGGTGGCGCAGGTGGCGGTGACCGACGTGGTACCGGCCGGCGCAGCCACGTCGCAGGCTCTCTCTCTCTCTCTCGCTTGGGAGACGCGTCCACGACATGTCCACGACACGTCCACGACACGTCCACGACACGTCCACGACACGTCCCTCCCCACACGTCGCAGGCCCTCTCTCGCGTTGGCTCTGCCGCCTCCGCCGGAATCATCGCCGGCCCTGCGATCGGAGGCGTCCTCGGGCTGGCGGCGCGCCACTTGCTCGGCGTGCCGCCGCACCGCGAGGCTTGCGGGCTGTCCTCGCCGCCTCCGCCCCCCCAGGATGTCGCGAGGTGGTGGCATGCCGTCTAGCGTAGGCGCGGGCAGTCTTCGCCGCCTCCGCTTGCCTCGCCGCCCTCGTGCTGCTCGCGACGATGCGGGTGAGGCTGGCGCCGCCGCCGGGCGCGGCAGGCGGACCGGGCGCGGCGGCGGGGGGGGAGGCGGGGGGAGAGGCGAGAGGGGAGGCGGCGAGGGGGGAGGCGAGGGGGGAGGCGGCGAGGGGGGAGGCGGCGAGGGGGGAGGCGAGGGGGGAGGCGGCGAGGGGGGAGGCGATGTTGGAGTCGGCCGCCTCGCCGCCTCCAGCAGTTGCTGCAGGGGGGCGCGGCGGGAGGGAAGGTTTGGGGCGCGGCGAGGCAGCTACTGCTGGCGAGGCTGGCCCGCGCCCCTCCTCTCAGCTGCTCGTCCGGTGCGCGCCGCTGGTTTGGGGTGCGGAGTTTGGCGGGACGCGTGTCCATGACACGTCCGGGAGTTGGCCGGCAGGTGGACGGCGCTGGTGACGGGTCTCGCGGTCGTCGTGACCATCACGACGTCTCACTTGCGCGCAGCAGCTCCTGTCGGCTGGTGGCACTTCTCGAGGAGGGCCGGCGCTGACTGAGTAGGTACGCCGTCATTGCGCAGCAGTTCCTAGACAGTTCCTAGACACTTCCTAGACACTTCCTAGGTACGCCGTCTTTGCGCAGCAGTTCCTCGGCTACGGCCAGCCGCAGCTGTCCGCCACCCAGTCGGGCGGCGCGGCGGTCGCGCTGCTGCCGCCGCTCGCTCCGTGTGAGCCTGGCAGTCACCATCGTGCTTTGGGTCTCGAAGGTGGCGCTACTGATGCAGCTGCTTCTGCTCCCGCGGCTGATGAGTGCCATCGGCGAGGCTCGGTCGTGCGCCGCTGGACTCGTCGTCCTCGCCGCCGCCCTCGCCTCCAGCGCGCGCGTCCGCACTCTGCCGCTGCACGCTTTGCTCTTCCTCGCGGCGCGCGCGGGCTTGGCGGTGGCGGAGACGGCGAACGTGGCCCTCACCGCTCGCCACTCGCGGCCGGCGGAGCGCGGGCGAAGACTCCTCTCCCTCCGCTTGCCCCACTCCCCCCCCC